CAAACGCACTTAACAGTGAACTACCATATAGAAAGTTGCCACAGCCCCCTCCCTCAGACTTATTTTAAGCAGAAATTGTGACTGTATTTTATGAGTGGGTGAGTTCTGCTGCTAATACGTGCCTATTAGACAACCACCTCAGAGAATGAGACTTCAGTCTACTTAGTTTCTGAATCGCAAGGAAGCATCAGCAGAAACTAGATCACCAGTTCCTGAGGCCAGAGCAGCTAAGAGTCTGCCAAAGGATGTATCTAAGAAATGTTTGCATACAGAGAGCTGTGTAACAAAGTGGTTAGCACATTTGCAGTTTTCACATCACAGTGGACTTATGCACCCAAGTCTTCATTCAAATTCAGGCCTCATTCAGTATTTTGTTTGTTTTATAATATACCTGTTTATCAGAAATAATTGCAACTGGCATTTAAATGGAAAATCCACATATTTTTCAACCAGTTGAAGCCTTCACAGACTTTTTGAAGGACTATGAACACAAGTTTAAAGGCTTTTTAATGGGGAAAAGAGTTTCCTGTACAAAACATTGCTTTGCTTCCTGAGAATGAGACTTGTAAAACTGGTTTAATAACTTTTGTTCTATTTTTCCACCTTCCGGAGAAAAAGAAAAAATACTCAATGACACTGTTATTATAAACCCATTAGTTCATCCCAGCTGAGTTATACTTTATTTCTGCTTTCAGCAAAACAAAGAAAATCCATGTTAAGCTAGCATTTTGCAACAGCTCTTGAAGGAGAATTGCCAACATGATGTTTTTCTTTGAAAAAAAATTCCCATTTGTAAAAGATACTACTACTAGTGGCATAAACGAACAACTTTATTATGAATCACAAGAGAGGGCTCGAGGACTGGAACAGGCTTGGAAACACCTACCATCTCTTTCTGTATATACAGGAGTGAAGTACTAGTACACCTGCATATGGCATCAAGCAAACCATCTTAACATGAGCACAGTAAACATGCTTGAACAAAACTACACCCATGAAATATCAATGCCCATGTTACACCACCACTGAAACCAGCCCATAATTAAGCTTCCTTGCTGAATTCCTATAGGACCTGGATCACAGGTTGTTTTAAAACACATATCAATAGCTTTTGCTTTTCAGTTGAAAAAACAGCTGTAGGACTTAGGCCTTTCTAAGAGTTACGAAGCATCACTCCTGAGCTACCCAAGCATCCACCTCCTATTACAGAGGAGACTGACTTACAGCATGGCACAATCTCTTACACTGGATGGACTGAAATCACTAAAAAATAATAAATAAATAAAACCAACTCATGAATTCTCCTTTCAAAATGTAGGTTCTACAGTGTGGTGCATGTCCCACTGTAATCAAGGATCCCATAATACCATAACACAAGAAAGTTCAGCGAGTAAGTGCTGGAACCAAACCTGTCGCTTGCCAGTTGAATGATGAAACCATCACTTGCCATCAGGCTACCTCCAGTTTGCTGGCTTTCCTTTGCTGGTGTTACAGGTCTCAAGACAGTCACCTATGGGTGAAGAGGGAGGGGAAGGAAGCCTGCTATCCCAAAGATTATATTCTTCTGATAAGAAGGAAGACCATTTAAGAATTATACTGACTAAACCTAAAACATTTCATGTCTTATAGGGCAAAAAGTAATAAAACAAAAACCTGACCACATTCCTACATTCTATCTGTCAAATGCCATTTCATTAGTTCACTGTCCTCTTCTTTTAATATATTCATTACCAACCATGAACTATATAGAAGCTTCACTGAAGTCTGAAGCAACAGTTAGAAACCCAGAATAAGTTCAAGTGGCAAGAAAAGGCAACTTGGTTGCCAGCCCAAAGCAGACGGCAAATATAAATTTAACAGGTAAAAAAAAAAAGGGGGGGTGTGGGGGTGTGTGTGGGGGAGGTGTTAATGAAAAGGAGAAAGGAGAACAATCAGAAGTACTCTCGGTGAACCAGAAAGCCCTAACACTAAACCTTGCCAAAAAGCCACAAAGGGCATGTGGAGAAGCTGGTCTGAATACCGATCTCTGAATTGAGATATGAAAAAACTTCTACATGAAAATAAGTACAATCCGAGCAGATGAACAAAAGTAGTACTACCTTCCATCAATCCCACTCTTTCTTCCACTCCACGTTAAACCTCCTAAAGTTAAGCTCTGTCCTCCCACCTCTCTGTATTCTGCATTTTCTTCCCTCCCTCCAGGTACATACCACAGTCTCTGCTCAGAGCATGCACAGGCATACTAAGCAAGAAGGCATAAATGTTGTTTATTGCTAGGCTGTATATTGTATGTTGGGGTAGGATGACAGGCCTCTTTTTGTTCCAAATCCCAATTTTATCTGGGCACAATTCCCTATTTGTGAAAAAAATATGGTTTTAGTTATTTTCTGTCATGGCTCCCAGAGGCCTCTAAGCATGGGCACTTATAAATAAAAACTTATTATTGTTTCTTATTTTGTCCTTGAGCAGGGAAACAAAAGGCAGAAGGAAACAAAATGTGAAACTAAACACAAGAGCAATTACAAAAAAAAAGTTTGTCATAAATATTTTGTGTCTCTAGGAAGGAAATGAAATCCCTCTTCCCTAGTTAACTAAGTTTATTTCTCCAAGCTTCTTGCTTGCAATGTTCTATTATTCAGAAGTATCAAAGAGTACTTTTAAGCTACCTGTTCCGATTTATTATAATCAAATCACACAAACATCTAGAAAGTGCCCACCTCGCCTATAACAATACATGGGAAAAAAGCAACCAATCTCAAAAAATCTCATGTCTTTGTCAAGCACAAAGAAGCACAAAATCTATGTCTGCCTCTCAGGGAGAGCAAGGATTTATATGTGCCTTCCTGGTGACATTTATTTAGGACACTTGCTATTGCTCCTGTTTCAGCCAACAGCACATGAATCACAGAACCAGAGGAGGACCAGCTACAGTGGACATGGTTTATATTTTCAGCTGAGAGATGTGGAGGTCCTATTCTTGGATTATTTCTAGTTTTTAATCAATGGGTGTCTAATGCAAAATACAAGAAAGTTCAGTGAGTAAGTGCTGGAACCAAACCTGTCGCTTGCCAGTTGAATGATGAAACCATCACTTGCCATCAGGCTACCTCCAGTTTGCTGGCTTTCCTTTGCTGGAGTTACAGGTCTCAAAACAGTCACTTATGGTGGGGAGGGAGGGGAAGGAAACCTGCTGTCCCAAAGATTATATATTCTTGTTTGACAAGAAGGAATAATGGGTTTAAGAATCATACTGACTAAATGCCAAGGTGTAGAAAGGTAATTCCCTTTCTAACTACAGATTGTTACTGAAATCAATTAAAAATGGAAAATAACAATACATTTTAAAAACAACGTCTCCAGCAACATAGCAGACAAATAGGACAGGGATAAGAGATTGCAGTGCAAACCTAATGACACTTTTTTGATCTGTTTGGCATACTAACAGGTATTTCCTCTCAGCACGTATAAAAACTACATGGACAGTTATTAAACCTGAAGTGATTTGAAAGGCTGCACAAACCCCTTCTTCAGAATACTTCCACTCTAAGAAGTACTTTATTATCCTTTACTCCAAATTTGCTTGTAATATCTTTCTCTTTTTTTTTTTTGCATCACTCATCTTTTCCTTAACTTGTTGAAATTGATGAGTTTGAGATCACTTGTACTAACCCTCCATTAGCCTCGCAGTTTAATAGGCAATTACTCTGTTTCAGCATGAAAACAAATTAAAGCATATACTGAGTGTTTTCATGAGGTGAATCATCCTACTTAAACTAATCACTAATCAACAGGTATGTTTGCTATCTTATTGCTAAGAACATTAGGGAAAAAAAACACAAAACCAACAAAACAAAAAAAAAACAAAAACCCAAAAAAAAAACCCACAAAAATCCCCAAGGGGGAGGGGGGGGGGGGCGGAGATCAACAAAACCTCTCCATCCTTCCAATTTGCTGTACATTAAGCTACAAAGAAAACATATATTCCTGCTTTGCACTTCCAACTAATCTTGCACAAATTACATCAGGTGTATATGTGCAGACACAAATGCAACTTCAACGAAGTTATTTATTTGGCACAGATTTCCACTCTTGAGACATTAGCTTTATTTATTACCTCCTCCCCCTGCAAACAATTGCCTGGAGTTAAACATTACATTGTGCCTCATGAAATCAGGCACTTAGAGCTTGAGTTAGATTCATCTATTGATGCTGCCCATTCAAACAAATAATTTATTAAATTCAGTGGGCCTCATTCTGCAGTAGTCTTCAGCCAAATAATGAGCACATCAACGTGTAGGTACATAAGTTAAATAGTTAACAAATACGTATTTATGCATATGTCAGTGTAACTTATAATTTTATACTTCAAAACATTTGCAAATTGTTTTCTTTGTTACGTACTCCCTCACATGCCGCTGAAGTCAATTTGGACTTTTTACTTAGGTTTCAATGATCTTTTGATCATTGCCTTAAATCAAGCATTATTAAATTACATTCCAACATATGTTCAAATAATAACACTCAGTTATAAAATAAAAATCTGCTAATTGATCATGAGTTACAAAACAATTTTGCAGCAAGATGTGTACTGATTGCTGAACTCATGAAGAGTCATGGTAAGTTCCCAGGACCACTGACATTGAAGCAGCAGCTTCTCACATAATCACATCACTTCAGTTTAGCTCCAAGGAACTGGTCCAAATGTATGAGAGACAGGAGGCAAAAAGCAAGAGACAAGCAGTAGAAGGGAGAATTCACAGAAACTAATTTTCAAGCCCTCCAGAGAGACTTAGCAAAGCACCAAAACCAGGCTTCTGCTTTGAATCTCCCACTAGAGTCACCTTTTCCTCCACAAACTATAGAGCGCCCTTAGAGACACAAATACTCCTCTCCTCCTGTTTTAGCCACAGAACTTGACGCTTAAAAGCCACTGATGATACAATGTTCTCACGCAGTATGAGAAAACATATTACATTATTAAAAGTAAAATAACAACATACTTTTCATGGTCCCATCTTCCTCTTCATCATCATCGCTATTTATTACCATGGTCCCCAAGTCCGATTCTAACATAGTACTGTTGTGTTCAATCATTGTCTGAGCGCCTTCACTCATCGTGCTTGTGGCCCTCATGGTACCAGCACTCTCCGAACTGGTCTTCACCATGGTATGAGAGTCCAGCTCATCTTCATCCTGTGAAGAAACATTTGTCAGAATGCAGCAGATCATTTTAAAAAAAAAAAAAGTTAAGAAGCAATCATTTAGATGCTTATTCATTAGTTTTATATCTCCATGTGACCTAGTTGTACTGCTAGACTTCCAGGCTTAAAACTTTAAAAGAAATCTCAAAATAAAAAATGTTCCGTATAAAGGAAGAATAAAAGCTTTCTTCTTTCTCACAGATGTACAGCAGGATGGATATACCGGACATGTGGCCCACACACCCACTTTGCATCAGCAGCCAGTTTTGAGTATCTCGGTGATTTTCGTGACCCATTATACCTCCTTGGGTTCCAAAATCAGCACCACATTTTATAGAAAGTAATTTGGTTGTTTTACAATGGACTATCACCAAGGATTTGTGCTGATCACCCTCAACTAAATATCACGCCCAGCATCTTACATTATGCACAGCACCCAGATGACAGACACTCATTCAACTTAGGTGTTAAACAATCCTCCAAAATAGTTTTGGAAGTCCACCTCAGAAACAGAAAATCAACCTGGCTTACTTCAAGTATTTAGTTCTCTTTAAAAACCTCTGTCACGAGAGTGAGAAAAATGACTTGTTGATACTATGTAGAAAAATATCTGTAAAGCACATACTTAATCAACAAAGTGGGTGGGGAGCTAATATCATGAAGAGATACAATAGCATTATGAATCAGTGACAATAATGGGCCAGGAATGTGAAACAAAGAACTAATGACAGTCCAGTTAATGAATTATAAAATTCATATGGAATACCAATATTTGAAAACATTAATGGAAAATCCCACTCCTTTCCAAAGTCTGATTTAGATTATATGTACAACATCACAGCATTTCAGGAATAATGTGATGGCCTATACACATTTTCTATATGAGTAAAATACTCAACCCAAGCTGGGAGGGGAGGGGGGCAGGGAGAAACAAAAACCACAAACAAACAAACAAAAAAAACCCAAAAAACCACCCCACCCAAGCCCCAAAACCCTACAAGGTCTGGCACTTTCTATTTCTTATGGAACTCATTCCTTTCCTTTCCTGTTATTCCCTGACACAGCAGACAATTTGCCTCTAATATAGACATAAGTGCACGAGCCAGCTACATTGCCTGAGTGTCTGTTTCTATAATGGTTGGTCTAAGCAGATACTGAGAATTGCAGTTAGTAGCGATACCAATACACCAGCTCCCAAAAATTATTCTATTACGTCTCAACTAAGAGACACAAAAATCGATCTAATTTTGATTCAGAGAGTCTGGCTAACAGCATAACATAATGAAACCATGATACAGATCTAAATCTGTGATTAAAATTTCAAATGTCAAAAGAATCATTCTTTTCTGGATTATAATTTGTAAAAACACTAAAGTTCTTCATTTGCGTTCTTTCTGGGTTTTTTAGTTGCATTCTAAAACACTATATTTAGTACCCTACCCTTATAAAAAACTACGATATTCCCAAAGATACAGATAGTTTACAGCTACAGCACTAGAGGACTGTGCCAGTAGATACAGATAGTTTACAGCTACAGCACTAGAGGACTGTGCCAGTAAACAAATGAGAATATTTTAGTACTGCTCCTCCTGGTGGCAACTTTAATTTTCTTTACTTCTCCCCCACCTGCAACATTCTTGCTAACCCCAGTGGGTTTTACAAGTTATATTTTTCCCTTTCTAACAAGGGTACTCGGAAAGTAAAGTCAAAAAGTGTCTTTTTGCACTGCATTTTAGAAGTGCCAGAACAATTAAGTTATTATTTCCAAGTGCTTCTTTCAGTACTGCAATACAATGCACAACTGCATACTCACAACGTACTGATACTTCTCCTATTAAGCGCTACAAATGTGGCGCCTCTAACATACAGGCAAGCAAATCTCTGAGCTTAAGGCACAGTTACATTTGATTTACAGATTTGCTTGACTAATATTAATATCCACTTGCAGTGCATACGGTCCTAAACTTACTAAAACTGAAATCAGAAATGCAACAAACATTTTCCTGAGGCTTAAAAGTTTTATTTTAGAAGTTAGTGAAAAAAAGTGATGGCTAACAATAAGTACAAGTATGAAATGGAGTCCTAAGTGACCATTTTCATATCTTCTGCTTCATTAAAAACACTGATATTTTATTTCTTCAGTCAGATCAAGTATCTGGATTTGTTCCAAAGAACAGCATTTCATTTTCCAGTCTAAGAGTGTCAAAAGCCTTTATCTTACTCTTGTTTCTCGGCAAAGAGAACAGTTATCTTCTAGTACCTAGAAGACTAAGGATCACAAAAGCCCACCTCAGTACTAACAGATAGTTGTCCCAAAAAGGGATGTACATGACAATTTTGATCAGTAGTGTTTTTCCCTAGATCAGGAATGATGTACTGAGAGAGAGCAATATAAAGTTTTTTTGGGGCCTGTGCATGCCCCAAAATAATTAATTTTGTGGGTTAAGCCAGATTGCTTCCAGAACTATCATTCCAGTATTTCTCACAAATATGAGATTTAGCGAATATGGCAGTAGACTATACTGGATCTGAAAAAGTAACTTTATAAAAATATCCATTGGATCCGAGTTATGTAAGTGCACATTTACATGAGAGATGAAAGTGATTCCTTCATACAAATTCTGATTCATGCTTTACAGTTCGTAAATATTGATGTAGAACTTCTGATCCCTTGTTAAAAAAAGGTAAACTCACTGATTAAATAAAGACAAACACAATCTCAATTTTAACCAGGAAAAAAATATAAGGTATTAAAGCTGAAGTGTCATGTTCTCATACTGTTTACGAAAACAGATCCAAGAATCAAGCAATAAAACCAGCTAACTGTGGAATTAAACTGTCTGCCGTTCTCTTGCGTACAAGTAATAAGCAGCAAACTTGTATTTGACAGGGGTTTCTGATACACAAGTAGACAGCAACAGAAAAAGCACATGAGCAAGAGTGCTAATATCTCTTGAAATGCTACAGAAAATACAATAAACTACAGAAACTCTGAACAACATTACAGCATAAAGTAAGTACACGTAAAACATTGCCAATACCCCGCAACCCTATGGGACTGACTGTTTGGATCTCCTTATTTACCAAAATAAGTTGGAAGATTATCAAAACCAACCCTTAAAGCATGAAAATGCAATCATAGCGACTTGATTATCAGGACAGCCAATTCAAAAAGACTTCAGCAGAAACAGCACACAAGACTTCACAATATGCTTGTAATGTATCACAATATGCTTGTAACGGATCACAATGTGCTTGTAACATAAAAGATCTCATCATCACATGAGAAGTTTTCTCAGAAAAGATGGCCTTGCACATCATACCTGAGTCTACATCATGATAGAAGCAAATGAGCCGAGGTGATAAAGATTAATGGATTTTTCTGTTGCATTTTTAACATTCATAGGAAAAAAAGGGATGAAGACTGACAAAGAAAAAACTAAACAAGACAAGCAAATATGGCAGCTTGCCTTTAAAATCTCTGTAACCATGGTTTGTTCATGTAAAAAGAACACTAGAGGGCACCAGAGACAGCTAACTAGGCTGCAATACATTAAAAGGAAGATTTACATGCTGGCAAAATTTAGTATCCTGTAAAATAATTTCATTTACTATTAACACCTCATCATCACCTTCGAGAAACGTGGCTGTAGTCACAGCTATCTTTTTGTAAAAGCACTATAGTAGCTACATAAACACATAATATAGTTTGGTCAAGAACAGGGATTTTGTAAAAGTTCCTAACATTTACAAAGCCTAACTACAACCCGAGTATATGCTTAATACTGAGCACACATTTAAGCTTAGACCCATCAGCAAAACCAGTGAAGACTTAACTCTCAGCACGCACTCAAATCCTGTCAGATTCAATAGACATATGTCACGAAACAATGTTTAAGCTTGTTTCCTACCACCTTTTAATTGATATACCCAGTAACAACGACCTGTTGCTCACAATTACCTCCCTATGTTTACTCTTCCTATAATCGGTTTCTGGCTCTAAATTGCTGTGGATCTTAACAATATGCTCTTAAAAAGCTGTTTATGCCCCTTGGGTAGCTATGTTTCGCTCGACAAAGTCATCTTTACATATTTCTAACTTCAGGACACTTAAAGGACTGCAATCAAATTTAATAAGCACATATGTCACAGGCTCTTTGGCTTAAAGGAAAAATGCTATGAAAACAGAAAGTTTTAACACTGTCATGCAAAGTTACATACACACACACACAGATACATAGATATATCATATACATACAAACACATGAAAGATGCATGAAAGTAAATATAAAAACCTTCAGAAAAATACAGCCTAGTGTATCGGATTTAAAATACAGAATAACTCAAATGACTCACTAGTTCCTTTAAAATAACTGTATAAATATTGTAAAAACATCAAGGAATAATTATAGCAATTATTTCTTAGGGTCTCAAGAGACAGACACCAACTCCTCATAATTAATACATGATTAACTAAAGAAACTTTTGTATGAATGAATAAATAAGCCTACATATAGGAATACTTGATTATTGATGGTTGGCTGAGTTGCTGATAGTTGTCAACAACTAAGTGTCTAACAAAAACAAAAACGGAGTACTGAAGTAGTAATTCCTTGTTTGAATATTCTAAAATAATTAAGCATTTCTCACATAATAGAGGTATTAAAATGTAAAAGAAAACATACAGGAAGAGCTGCCTGTTAGCTCATTCCTTTAAAGATCCACAGAAATAAATATTTAGACATGTTTCCTGTGAGCTGCCAGGCAACGAGTTACTTTACATTCCCATAATACAGCTGCCCAGCCTCAGCATCCAATTCACATCACACTTCAAAAAATGCACAAGAGGAGAGATTGGTCATGTTTAGTAATGCTTAAACTAACATTTAAACTTTGATATTGGGATTAACCTTCTGTAGAATACACCACTTGCAATTTTTGGTTAATTAAAAAAATCTGTACAATTACCTCAGCACCTATCAAAACATGTCA